CACCTTTGCTGATCAAGATTATATGGAAAATTCGACATCGTTCGATAGAAATCACTATTAACTATAGTATGTTTTGTCGATAATAGAAGTAATATTAATCTATAAAATAATTCTTATTTTTGAAATTCTAGAGTATTGTGTATCATCTATTCGTGACTTAATTCGGTGGATGAAACAGTTGAACATATTCAAATCAGCTGCGAATAGAACAGTGGACGATATCGAACAACAACGTATCAGCACATATTGTTTTCTCATTTTATTCGCAGGTACATATCTTCATTTAGAAGCTGTGTGGCCTACTTAGTGAAATGATGTTAGAATCAACGACGAAACAATGATGATTTTGATTATGAGATCGACATTGTGTAGTAACTAAGGATCAGATGATTTTAGGAAAATAATATATATATTCTGCAAGAGGAAATCTTGCCGCTCTTTTTCATAATAGAAATTTCCATTAGTAATCATCGATAAAAAAATAGTCCTGGGAATCAAAAAATTCAGCTTTTCCCTCCTTGCATTCTTGTAGTATTATCTAGATCTAAGTTTTTTTTCTTCATTCTAGGTTCTATTCTTTGTCTTGTTCTTTTTAATTCACTCAAAACTCAAACAATTACAATCATTGAAAAAAATCCACCATTAACTAAATACAAGCAGTTACAAATCCTATATCCAGATACACTTGCATGTCCTTGTTCAAATAGTACAATGCCGTATAAGACTTTTGTTTCATTGTCTCCCATTTTTCATCAAGTATGCTCAAGTGGTTTACTTAACGAATCATGGATTTCACTACTATCGAATAACGATCCGAATAATGTGTTGAGTGGTACATTTATTAGTAAAGCTGCTCAATACTTTAGATTACTGTCCAGTATTTGTCAACTAGCTGATTTGACAACTACCGAGAATATTGATGGTTTTTTTGCACGCACTTTTGTTACTTTCTATGTGCTTATCGAAACAGATTTTAATATTCAAGTTAATGCAACTGTCAAGCAACTGACCGAATCAATTGTAATCAGTTTTAATCTTTTCAATATTATGACACGTCTTTTCATTCAAGCTGATCAGCCAATAATAGTATCACCGAATTCTCAAGTAATACTAAATTATATAAATACTACAGCTGGTACTAATAATCCACAAGCACTAGAAGTATGTTTATATTCAAAGAATTCTTACATTTCTTTTTCTCCTTTAACTATGCACTAGGATAATAAAACGATGACTTTCAATAGACATATATATTCTGAAAAACTATCTCTTACCTTTTAACTGTCTGTAAAATTTACGGATCTTTCGTGACATACATCTTCTTATTTTTTTTTCTATATTCTCTATATATGTGTATGCTATGAAATGATATTTTCAATGGTCAAAGATGTATTGAAATTCCCTGTGAGAAGATTTAAGACAGTATCTATCAGATTTCAATCGAAATATTTTATATAGTTTTTCTTCTCTTGTATCAAAAAACGTGTCATTATAACTTATTATTCTTAGCAGAAATGTTTCAATTTCGTTTAATCACTATAATTTAAATTAAGAATAAGTTTAAGACTATATCTAGATCTTTTAAAGCTTAAGGTCTGAATCTTGTTTAATGAAATTTTAATTCTTTTCTGTCTATTTAGTTTAAATTTCGTTTCAATACTATTTTAAAGGACCTTTTAGATCCGAACGGCCCAATATGTCAATGTGTTGTTGATACCAATTGTCAAGGACCAATCTATTTCGCAGCTATGGAGGAAATTGGTATTATAAAATTACCTGGTGCTCATCCAGCATATGTCACTAGTAGTTATGTGGCACCTGGATTGATTGATGCATGTTATACTATTGATTTCCTTCTTCTATCAACTCTTCAATGTTTTTATACAGATTCTGACTGTATGAACCAACTGCTCTATTATATAAACAAAACATATCCGTCGTCTGTAAAAGATCCAAATGTGTATGCACATCCACTAATATATAATCAAACATCAACTCGTTTTCCTCCAAATACTTCAATTTCATCGATAGTTGAAGAAATGATGATTGAACAATGGAATACATCGTTGTCATTTTCTGATTATTATAGAGCGTGTGCACCAACTTATTGCACTTACACTCAAATAAAACATGCAGAAACTCTCAGCGAACTATTAGTGAAATTGATCTCAACGGTCGGTGGTCTTGTTATGGTATTACGACTAATTACATTCCAATTTGTTAAGATTATTTTCGGTTTATTACGAAAAAAACCGAAGAAACAACAAGGTAATTAATGATAACATATTGTGTGAGACTATTAATTCAATCGACTGATAAATCCTATAAACTATGATTTACAAATATTTTCTTCCCAGATTTCTTTAAGATCAAATGATATACGTATAATATTAGGTAACATAAAATATTGATCTTATTTTCATTATAGTTCGTCGAAAATTACTTGATCGAGTCAAGATGTTATTATCTAAACTAATAACATTCTTATACAAAATTGTTGAATCTAAATATGTTTCCGGCACGAATATTCGGAAGTAAGATCGACAGAATAACGGTGAAATATCTTGGTCAATGGTCAACTCGTCTTTATCTTATTCTTCTAAGCATCATTTTTGTCATTTTAACTCTTTATACAGTTATTCAACCACAAACATTGACCAAATCCTTTTCAACACCATCATTAAATTTCTATAAGAAACTAATAAATGATCATAGTGATGAACTTGAATGTCCATGTTCATTGATTTCATCTCCATATGATGAATATCTTCAAATTCAACCAGTATTTCATCAGGTCAGAAAGATTTTCTTTGATTTTGTTATAATATTTTTCTAATAGATTTGTACAAGTGATTTGATTTCAAATGAATGGAGATTAAATATTACAGCAAATATAATTTCTAATTTATCTGCTTATAATCAAAGAGATTATCGTTTATTTCTCTCTAGTCATTTACAATTTTTAAATGGATTATGTCAACTCTCCATGCAAACAGTAGATCAATCGATTCAACAATCTTTATCTTCATTAATGATTACTAAACAATTATTATCAGAAGAGAATTTTAATTTACAAATTAATTCAATGATTAATGAAGCAAAATCCAATGCTCCTTCAACACTTATTCGTCTACTTTCCTTACTTCAAGCGACAAATCATGGAAATGCAATTGTCTCATCGTATGGAACTAATTATCAATACATAGCTCCTATTTATAGTACATTTTCAACCATTTTATATACTCAAGCGATGATGTATGATGGTAACTGTTCATGTCAATTAAATTCTACTTGTATTATTAATGCTTCGTTTATCGAGATGGAATCGGTACAATCCTTAACAATTAAAGGTTTGAAAATGGGTTGTACACCGAGTGAATCATTACTTGCATCAACTCTTGAATGCTTCTATGATCAATCATGTATTAATCTTATTCAAATAATGGTAGGATACAGTGAAAATATTACTCCAATTCCTCTCAACATAACTAATAGTCGATTTCTAATGAATATGACTGTGATGAATCTTATCAACGATCTATTTGTTGAAAAATGGTCAGCAATAATGAATTATTCATCATATTTTTATAAATGTTCACCAATGATCTGTTCATATACATATATTCAACGACTGGATTCTTTCTATACACTGACTTATTTACTTGGTTTATATGGTGGTTTAACTATCGTTCTCAAATGGATCTCTCCGAAAGTTGTTTACCTTGTAAACAAAATTTACCAACGTCGAAAGAAAACAACCAGTTCAATCAAACCAATATCTACTATTGAGGGTAACGTCGAAATAATGGACGCAAACAATATCAACAATACCGCTGCTTTGTCACAATCGGTGAAAACAGTGCCAGCACATTCGTATGTCTTTTTTTTCTGTACTATATTAATACGTAATGTCTTATCTTTATAGGAAAAAATTATTTTCGGTATCATTACATTACTGGATCTTTGGTTTAATAGTGTTTATACTTGTGATAATAGGCATTCTTATTCCATTTATTTATGTTTTGCAAGAAAGAAAGAATCATTCTACATCAACAGGTACGATATCCTTAATGATTTTCATCATCGAGTAATAAGAGTCACAGATATAGTTAGAGACTAAGATATATGAGAGTATTTGCTCACTCTTCATTGAATTTGGTCTAACTAGTGAAATTTATTCTAGTATAAAACTTTTCTATGTCTAAATGGACGAATACTTAGAAAAATAAGCTGACGAGGGAAGATCTGATTTTCGTGCAAAGATTTATTTAGTTAGTATATTGTATGTTAAATCTATCTGATATTTAGGTTACACAGAAATGTATTTCTTGTTAATTTCAATTTTGTCTTTTGTAGAATAAGCAAAACCAATCGATCGAACAATTTCGAAAATATGAACATTTTATTCATTATATATATTTTTTTCAATTCTTTGGATGTATCACTAATACTTTATTCTTATACAATTATCATTTTATTGCATTATTTAATCTTTGAATATTGTTTTCTGCTTCATGTAATTTGTTCTCAATAAATGCTTCTTCACTATTTCAAACGTTATCTATTTAATATTTTAATATTTTCAAGGGAAAATACTAAAAATTATTATATTGATAGTCTTATCTAATTCGTACCATTGAATTATTGATTGACACCATTACTTGAGTGAAATATAACCTATTTAATAAATTATTTACGAACTGAAGGTGTCGGTGTGAATTTCGATATTATGTTCATCTCACACATATCCACATCTATTCAAGTATATATATAATTAAGTGGAAAAAAATATGTTTTAATAAATCAATATAATTACGGCGTTTGAAGAAAAAAATAGATTATTGAAAAATGTGATTAATATTTATGTTTAGTAAAATCATTAGTTAGAATCTTTTGTGATAGCCTTTAAATATCGTTCACCTGATCGTTGAACAATCTGTTGTGCTTTCTCGAGAATTACTCCATCTGTACCATAAATAATGAAAGCATCATACAGTCTATCGTAGTTAACAAGTTGCAAATTTTTCATGATTCGTCTGATTTTGTTTTCATTGAGCGGAATATAATTTAGAAAGCTGTGCATAAATGTAACTTGTTCTGGATCCATACAAACTTGAGGCTCATCACCACTTAGTAATACACCACGTTGAGATGCTCCGTCTGGCCAATACAATGCTTGTGAACCGTCGAAGTGTCCGCCTGTATGAATAAGTTTCAATTTGCCATCGAATAAATCTTTCGTCTCACCATTCCAAAAGTGAATGCATTTATCAGGTCGTACTACCCAGTTTTTCATGTCCTGATGAAGATAGATAGGCACGTCACCAAATGCATGACTCCAATCTATCATAGTGGTAAAAAAATGGGGATGAGAAATGGCAATTGCAGTAAGACCACCCAATCCATTAATAAAGTCGATAGTTTTTTGATCGAGATACGAGATGCAATCCCATAGAATATTTCCATGTGATGTTTGTACTAAAAATGCACGTTGACCAATTCCAAAGTGTGGCTCGGTACGAATTGAATATAACCCATCTTCTTCGCACTGAATTTTATTTTCATATTTGCCCAAAATTTCCTCTCGTGTCGTCCATTTCTGACCGTTCTTATCGACATAATGTCGTTCATCTTCACAAATCAAACAATGCGAGGGTGGAGATGATGCCAACGGATATTGAACACCACAGTTCACACATATATGACAGGACATTGATCTGCGCACTTCTATCTAAACACTCTTACGACAATTAAACGGAATGTAAGACTTGACGAATGAATTTTTGTTGTCTCACAAATGCGGCACATGGTAGATAAGATATGATAAACAACAACATTACACGTAGAGATATATTACCTAGCAGAAAAAAATATTTAACTAGGAATATCAGATAAATTAAATATATTTAAAAGATATTTTTATAGACAATACAAATAATTTGTAAATATACAATATGATCAAGGCAAAGCGTCACGTAAGAACATTAAGCATGCAAAGAAGTATTTTACATACAATACAACAAAATTTTGTTTAAAGTTAAGATCGAACTTTTTTAATTATTCCATAATAATTTTAATCTACTCATATAACATATACGTTATTGCACAACGCTGTGAAAATATTTCTGACTACTAATGATGAAATAACATATTCTTTAACACAACGTGTTTATATGTTATTGCATAACTATGCATTAATATTTCAAACATGACAAAATTACTTCGTCATTTAACGTATGTGTAAAAAATTGGTTACATTTCTTTTATATATCTGAATAAATCATTAAAAATCGATGGATTGGTTAAATAAATATGAAAGTTCTACTGAATTATATGACGATGCAGTAGAACAATGGCCAAACAATCAATATCCACCTGGAAAATGGATTTTAGGATCATTTGATGAAGAATCAATTATAGTTTATCAAGCATACAATCAAGATATAGCACAATTTGCTTGTGAAAATGGTCGTTTTATAGACTGTTCTGATTATGATCAAGATCGTATGACATGTATGATATGAAATCTAATAAGATTATTTAAAATAAAAATATTATCAATCTAGGGATAAAAACAAATTTTCTTTGGATGATGTATCGATCTCAATGGGCTACAAAATTCAATCAACAACATATTCTAGCTATATGGCTTCGACGTTCAGCATTTGATAGTTATTTAGCACAATCTATAGATACTTCACATACAGATCTTCCGAAAAATGATAAAAAAAATTCAAAAATAAAAACTCATGGAGGATCAATTCGTTTACAATGGGATCCTGATCATCGTCCAGATGGTCAACGAGTTACGGGTCGTCGAGCTATTCAATTAGGTCTTAAAAAAATAAAAAGTTTTCTTGATGGTCGTGATATTATACGTATTATTGATATAACCTCATTTGTTCAAACTCAATATAATAATGCTATTGTACCAAAAGAAAAACTCAATCAACTTCGTATTCCTATTGAGCGTATCTATCAACCTCAAGACAAACAAACTCGACAACATATACAACTAGATTCATAAATAGTAATACATATGTAGAATAAAAATAAATAAGAAATTAATGAAAATTTTTATTAATTAAAAGATTTTTTTAATCTTATTGTCTTCATCTTTAGTGTATGTAAATACGCGTGCATCTTGTGAAATAGATCGTTGATTTATGAAGGTTTTAAACATACGAGAAAATGAGACTAATATTGGTTCATTATTAATTCGAACAAGATCAGGATATACTTTTCGAAATTGTTCAGTTGCTTCTTCTAAACGAAATAAAAAAAAGATTAGAAATAAAAATAAATTTTCTATCATACCTAAATGATAATGTGGTACTTTTGTAAATAGATGATGAATTTGATGTGTACCAATTGAATGAATTATTGAATGAACATGACCATAATGACGATCAACTGTTGATAATTGTCCTTTAACATTATTCCATTCCGAATCTCCATACCAAGGTACATCACTATATATATAGAAATAAATAAATAAGATATTAGATATTAAATATATTACATTTCTGTATGATGTAACATAGTTATAATAACTATATAACATGCAAAAATAAATACTGGAATGAGATGATAAGTAATTAAACTGATGAAACCAACTGAAATCGCATAAATATACATCAGATAACACTGAAATATAAAAATAAAATCATTTTATTACTGAATTATTAAAAAAATATATAGTTATATACCATTCCTAAATAAGTGGCAAGTGAAAGAGAAGCACCAATGAAATTTTTATTATAAAATAATGGTTCGAACTAAAATTAACAAAAACAAAAATATTCATAATTTATTTAATAAAATAAAATTTATTTACTGGATTAAAATGATTTATTCCTCTTGGTCTATAACCAAACATTAAATAATAAAACCAGGAAATACCAGGAAACCAATACAAAAGATAATTTTGAAATGATGGTTCATCTACTATACCACGTTGTGGACAGAAAACTGCATCTTTATCAATATTATTTGTATTTTTATGATGATGATTATGTGTAAGCTAAAGTAATAGAAAAAATTGCATTCATTTTATTTAAAAATTAAAATATACTACCTTCCATGCATAATAAGGTACTAATATCCATGTATGTAATATTGTACCAACAGTATCGTTCAATAATGGATAAGAACTAAAACTTGAATGTCCACAATCATGTCCAAGTATAAAAAATGCTGTATAAAGAGTTCCTACAACAAAAATAATAAAATAGTTAAAAGTTTTTTTTTTAAATAAACTTCAACAAACCTTGTATATACCAATAAATAGGAAAAAATAAATAACCATATTTAAATAATTTTTCTATTTGAAACATAATAAAGAATGTTAGAATGACATAAATAATATCTTTAATAACATAGCTCATTGATTGTCGAACAGTGGAACGAAAACAATGCGATGGAAGTTTTGTCTTTATTTCGGATAGTGTTGGTAATTGATATTGTACTGGTAATGGTGTTGTGTCTTGTTGCTGAGCATAATCACCTTCAATAGGTGACTGATCGTCTTCTTCTCCCATTTATTGATAAAGGAACTAAATAAATTA